TGCGTTTCCTTTTAGGCTGTGTGGCAAAGTCAACAATCCAGCCCAAGACAAATTAAATTTACAAACAAATGGCGCTGCGCAAACAAATGCCAAAAAATTTGCTTGCCCAAAGAAAAAGTTAAACAGCGCGCATTTGCTTAGAGTCCCTGGGGCGCAAACGACACACGCACACGCACACGCACAAACACACAAGCACACACATTCACCCAGAAGCAGTTGTGTTGGAGTTTTCGTTTTGCACATTAACGGGGAACTGTTGAATGGCGAATGCGGGCAGGCAAAGTCACGTTACAAAAACCCACGCCGTAAAGTATGCTTTAAAAAATGTTTCACTTAAGCAGCAGCAACAGCAACAGTGGCAGGGTTGTCACGGCAGGTATGGTGGGGGGATAGGGTTGCCAGACCAAGGTGGCCAGCTCTGCTGGTTGGTTGGCTGGCTGGTTGGTTGGCAGCTCAATAAAAACAAAATGTGTACAATGTACATGACAAACAAACATAAAGTTAGAAGCTCGTTAAATAACGCCAAGGGGGTAAAGAATGCCGGAATATCTCGGCACATTCTGAGCGAGCATGCGGCAGGTGCATGGGTGTGTGTGTAAGAGTGTGTGTATGTGTATGTGTGAATAATGTCAAGTTGTCAAGGCACTGGGATTGGCGTCCCAAAACAACGTGGTTGACATTTTAGCAAAAGTAATAGTCACAGCAACAGTTTTTCTTCATTTCCAGTGCTTTCACCTTGCCTGCCGGCCTTTTAGCCATCGCCAGCAGCAGCATCAGCATTGGCAACAAAGCAGCTACCATAAGATAACTTGAGTGTGGCACAAGTTACTGTAATGGTGGCAACTAGACATATGCATAACATATTTCACGCAGCGAGCCCATGATGCGTGAACGTGATGCCATAAATGCAGAGCAGACGATACGCCCACAATTCAACTTAATGGCCAGGCATTGGCATAAGTCGATGCCCAAAGGCGCAAAGTGGGAGTGAAAGCGCAAAAGGCATTTGCTTCAATTTTTATGTGGAACAAGAAAACAAATAAAAAAAAAAACACTAGGCAACAAATATTGCATATTAAATTATCTTTTATTATTGCTCTGATTGGAAGTCTCTCTAAGTTCACAATAAAATATTTGTTTCTTTTTAAGAGACTTGGAAACAAAATAACACGAAAAATGTTACTTCAGAATTGTCAAATTTATAGATGATTTATATTTTCAACCCTTTCAGAGATAATAATATCTGTTTTGTTAATAGGTGTTTGCTTTGACGCTACTAAAGAGTCGCAATAATTTTAATTGCAAGTTCTCCAAACATAATTGAGCTTAAACGTTATGTGAATTAAGTAAATCGGCTTTTCTGAAATACTGTTTAACTTTCAGGACACTTTTTGGTGCAAAACTGCAGTTTAATTGTTTATTCTTATGATGCCTTAAATAGGCATCCATGTTGCGTAGTGTTATTGAAATCGTAGTGTTGTTAATATCTCGAGTAAATGGAGCGCAAAGATTTCAAGAAAACAGAAAAAGTTGGTGCAGCCAAAAGTTTTTTGTACGAAATCCAAAGCAGTGGGCAGGATGAATGCGAGATGAAAGACAAAAACCATGCAGTCGTCGCCATTGATTTTGGCCGCAGTAGAAGCCGTTGATGGCTCATTGCACTTCAGGCAGGACGAGAGGCGGTAAGTGCAGCAACGCTGTTTGTGGCAGACAGAAGCAGCTTCATTAATGTTCTGAACACGAGTTCTGTGGTTCTGTGTTTGTTTAATATGGCTCTTGCAATTAAAGGGATCCGATTTCCGTAATAAAAAGGCAGTTTTTCGTTCTGCATTTTAATTAAAAAAATGCACAAATATATGGCCATCGCGTTTGTAGTTTTTACAAGAGAGAAAAAGTGCTGCGGTTACATTTGTACCCTCTACGTGGTTTCAGGGGCATATTCGAACAGGGAGTCTAACGTGAAAAGATAATGCATTGCACCTGGCACAGATCTTTCCAAAGATCTTTTTACCTTTAAATATTAATGAAATTTTACAATAAATTAATAAATCGCTGCCATTGGAAAAAACGAACTAGTATGTTTCTTAATTTAAATAAACTCTTCAAACCGTTCGGCAAAGAAGCAATAATTGTTAGAAGAAATAGAAAAAGCTATAAAATGAGAAACTATTCGGCATATAATTTTAACAAAAGCGGAACATTTATTAAACAAAAGTGTTCGAATTATTTATCAATTTTAATTCCATTTTATTAAAAATGAACACGGAAACGAGAACAAAGCAGTAGGTGTGGAGCTAAATGAACATATATGTGCGGATGAACGCATATTCAGAGAAGCCAGAAAAAGCGTAATATTTATTAAACAAAAATGTTTAAATTCAAATAAAAATCAATTCTATTTTATGAGAATATTTTTTTTCAATCACACTGAAAAAAAGAATTGTCCAAAAGTGTATGCCTTTTCCAAATAAGAACAAAAGTGAATCTAAATAAATACAGAGAGACGTATTTATTGAAAAGAGAGAAAAAACGGAATATTTGTTCAATAAAAAAGCAAAAAATATATCCATTTTTTAAAAAACGAATAGTGTTCTTCAACATTATTACTTCTATTTTAGTGGGAATATTTTTTCTGAGCCCTCAAATACAATAAACCATTATTGCTATGCCTTATCTAAATAACAATAAAGCTGCCGCCTGTAGTGAAGCTAAATCAATTTTTGTGACGAGCTCAAAAAATAGTGAACTGCGTTAGACCATGAAAGCGTCGAGTCGCTGCGATATGGCCGTGGGCTCGCTGTTTTTTGCACCACATGGCGTATGTGTGTTATTAAAAAGCGCTTATAAATATACGTTTTTTTTGGTACGAAAAATGGCAGCATTAATAACCACGACGCTGTCACTGTTGCTGTTGCAGCTTCAACTGTAAATACCAGGGCATTTATTTTATTGGCTGTCAGGCTGGTGACACACGTGGGCGTGGCTATAATTGAAACAGGCTTCGACAGCAATGTCCGTGTCACGCCTAATCCGTCGCATGTTGTTCAACTGAATGCAAATTACGTTACCTTTGTCAGATGAGCGAGGGTAAAATGGGGCCCAGGACCTCACACAAACCCAAACCCACACGCACACATACACATGTTCGTGCATGAGCAACACTTTAATTTCCGTTGATTTATGTCAACGCCGATAAGATTCTGCTGGCCATTGTTGTTACCGGCGGCAATAAGAAGGCAAGCGATTGCACAGTTATCTATTATTAAGATCTGACACTCAACCATGTGCAAAAAAGCACATGCCAATTGTGTCCTAACTGAGCAACAACAACAACAACAACAAAAGCACTGATAGTTAGGCAGGCCTAAGCCCGTTTAGGTCATTAACATAAACAACTCTGCAGGCGGTAGGCACGTGTCGAGCCACAGAAAGGCACACAAAAACTAAAGGCAAACAAGCAGGAAAAAGAACTACCTAATGCTCTATTCACACAACAGATACAAAGGCTTGCATGCTAACACACACACACACACACACACACACACACACACACACACACACACACACACACACACACACACAGATACAGATGTGTGAGTATCTATCTGCACGCCCGTATGTGAAGGGACATTGGCCTGAGCTGTCAGCGTGGTAGCGCATAAATCATTTAGGGCCAAAGAATGGCGAACAGCAGATTCCAAGCTTCAGAATACGGCTAAACTGTCATTTTCCAAAGAATTTAATTGACAGTCGAAAGTCATAAATTACACGCATATCATGCATATAGTGGGGATAGCAAACGAGCTGGGAATGGCATCCAAAGAATGGAGGTGGGAGTATGTGGGGAACTTAGTATTTTAAGTTTCCTCAAGCTAATTGTGAAGAGTTATTCGGGGGCCGAGTAGCTGGGAAAAACGACAAACAACCGAGATGAAAAACAGGCAGCTGACAAAACAACCGGGACACAAAGCAGCGGGACACGTGTGTGCGCCTGTTTGCCGCAAGGAAACCACAACAACAACAGCAACATCAAGAAATGTGTCCTGCAAATGAATCGCTTTTAGCGTGTGTATGCGCGCGTGAAAGGAAAAACATGCCTGCTTATTTGGTTTGCTAATAAATTAATGATATACTTTTGTTAAATCTCAGTGCTTGACTAAGCGGTTGAGCTCCAAGTGGCTCTGTTGCCAGTTTCAAGTGGAAATAGGATCTCAGAGGCAACATATACTCGTAGTGCGAGTCTCTAACATACTTGAAGCCAGCCACAATGACAAATAGAAGACAGTACCGAGCCACAAAACACTTAGGTTTCATTTACCCAGAGACAGATATACATTAACAAAATTTATAGCCAGTGATAGGCATTTAAAATAGAGATGTGCTCGTGAGAAAGATGTGGCTGACTTTTGTAAGATGTTGCTACACATTTAATACTCCATGCTGTTTGAGAGATTAATTGTGTAGTTTTTGTTACAATTATGGCTATTTAAGAAAACATCTTTTGGGGGTAAGCCCCATCCAATGCACTGTTTAGACCTCTTGAAATGTTGTTTCTGATTATGATTTCAAATTCAAATATTCATATCTGGTGATTTTTTGTGAAGGCAAGCTTTTGTGATGACACTGAAAACCATAAAACGAATACCAATGCACCTCTAATGAGATTTTGCCCATGACTTCTGTTGTATTTGTTGTGCCATTTGTCGACAGTAAATAGTAGCTGTTGTTTCTATCTAGTTTCTATAGAATAACGCATAAGTATAACTTTCTGTCACGTTCTGAACTGCGCATATGTAAGCTGAAACATACCTATTAGCACACTCATTTGTACTCACTTGCCCCATGCTAAGAAATAGGAGCTCTGGCGCCTGTTAGACTGTGTTTGCCAATGTCAACAGAGCTGGCAAAGTGTGTTTATCTGAACACAAACTGTGACCAGCTAAAAGCAGGCCTTGACTTGATTTCTCATATTATTAGCAAGCAAGCACACGCCAACTTGAAAAAGTTCTATTTATAATTGGAATAATTCGCGTTCTTTTGGTTCATCAAAATTGAATTTGTTTGCTATTGAAGATGGCGTATAACGAGTGTGAAGTGCAGAAGCAGCTGATGCGCATCAATCGCATTATTCTGCAGCGGGCTGGGGATCTTGGTGTTATTCGCAGCAGATATGTGCCCCGTTGGTATCGCGGTCTCTCCGATTACCAGGTGAGTGCGGCTAATGCGCTAAGCGCCGCACTGCGCGATGATATAGAGCAGCGCACCCTGTACCGTGTCACGCGTGTCATTGTGCGCATGGGCCTGAATCCAAAGCCAACTAAGCCCAATTTGAGGTTGGTAATGCGCATGAGTCGCGGCAACGATATTGCCTTCCTCTGGTTCCTCATGGAGGTATGCTACAAGACAAAGCTGCATGGACGGGCCTACAGCGCCAATGAGCAGATCATCATGTCGAGCATCTTTCGCCTGGACTTGCATCCAACACTGCGTGAGTTGGATCGCGTTCTTCCTTTGCCGCATGCCTCAGCCAGGGAACGGGCCAAGCAATCAAAAGCCAAGACCGCTGCGAAGGAGAAGAGAATCGCGGAGCAGATCGAACGCAAGCGTCGGGCAGCTGCTAATTCAAAGATCTCCTTGCCGTATTTCGAGGAGCTCAGAGAACCTCAGGTCCACTCCAGCCGTCTAACGGCAAACTATCCTACACGGCCGGCCTTGATTAAGATCTTTAATGTGGAAAAGGACAACCCAGGGCTATGGTCACGTTGGTTCGGCAGCTTCGATGTGAACGAGAGCCATTGCGTGACTAAGCCTTTGCTATACAAGGAAATCAAACGCATAATCACATCATTCACCGCGGCGAGGCTTCATGCCGACGACGTAGAGTCTATGTGTGCGACCCACAAGAAGATTGGCGAAGTAGAAGAGTCCCTGAAACGCAATCTGGAAGCCATCAAGGTGATGGAACGTCAGAAGTGGGCGGATTTGACGACGGAAGCACAGAAAGTGAGTATGCGCTTGTCTAATTGGGCTTCAATTTGTGAAACGGTCCTTCTAGCGTCGACGCAAGCGTGTGTTAGAGGACTTGGAGAATATGACGGCCAAATTTGAAAAGCAGTTTCATAATCTGGCGATCAAGACACGCATGTCAACGACATGCAAACAACTCTACGTTGGCTGCAAAGGCCTGCATCCTGAACTGGACGCATGTCGAAAGCCGGACTTCGTATTCGTCAACGAATCTTTTGCAACCGAAGAGCCGGATAGGCGATTGTGTGGTGGCAGCGATTTGTCCAGGCCCACCTGTTTGGAATGGGATATGGGGTCGTGCGCAGCGCGCCAACTGGACGGAAGCAAAAGTTCTACAGTTAAGCTGCTCCAGGGGCAGCAACCTGTGATGAAGTCAGTCAGCTGTAACGAGGAAGCCCGGTCCCGCATGTTTTGCGATATGTACGATCCTAACAAGGAGCTTCCCAAGCTACACGGCCAGCGCAAGCTCAGCGTCGAGCACTTTCTGCGGCTGCGTCACATAGAGACGCAACGGAAATCGGCAACCAATAGCGATACCAATAAGTATTTTGAGCTAGGATCGAGCACCCATGACTATAAATTCAATTATCGCAAACTCTTCGATACGGACAAGCTGCGCAAAGACAATGACGAGCTGTTGCGTCTAAAGCTCTCCTTTATTGAAGCCATTGACAGTGATGTCGAGTTTCTCAATAAGGCGTTCAGTGGCGGTGGGGATAAAGCGATCGATGCAGCTGTAGATCACGTGGCAAAGAAACTATTCCGGGAAGACTCGGATCTATATCGGAGGGAGTACGATCGCATAGTTCAATACCATCAGCAATCCAAAATACGGAACGACACACGCCTCGACTTTGGTCGCGAGTACTACGATGCCGAAGACATTGTGCTAATGAAGGAGATGCTACGCCTGGGTCTGGAGCGCGTCAGTGAAGACAAGCGTTACGTGCTACCCACACTTCCCCAAGTGCATTGCGTGCCCTTTCTGATCGAGTGGATTAGCTACCGCTATGGCAAACGATATTCGCAGAAGGAGCGCGAGCGCATCTTCAAGAACACCAAGTACCTGATGCGGCAACTGACGCGTCTTCTGCAGGGCATCCTAATGCCACGAGCGCCCGAGGCGACGATGACGATGAGGAGCTTCAGTCTACAGCCACAATTGCGGCGTTTGGCGCAGCGCATTCATTACAGCTACAGGGATCTGTTCTGTCGTTCCATCATGGAGGTGGGACGCATGTTCTACTTTGCCATGCGACCCCAGCTGTGCCATCGGATGCCAGTGAACACCTTCTATGCCTATATGCCGGCGCATTTTAGAGACACGAATTTTAGTGTCACAACTATGACGAGAAATCCCAACCTGGCCAGGTATCGACGTTCGTTTTGAGGCATCGCTGACACGGTGGCTGCGATGCCGCAAAACGAACTCCAGACTGACCCACAAAATTGCAACTAAAAACGAAATTGCTGTAAAAATGTACAAATTTTAAATGCTCATCAACATAAAAGCTCAATAGTGTTTCATTGCAAAAGGTATTGGCGAAAAGTGCGCATTAATCCGGTAAATAGCTGTTGTACGATACAAAAGACAGTCAAGTTAGTGACCATTATTCATATTACCCTATAGTACTTATGGATTTACGCTCATTTGCTGTCCTTTACCGAATCAATTCATATCATGATGAAGGCACTTCCACTTCCGCCTCTTTTAATATACGGTTGTGTTCTCTTCCAAAAATAGCATGCAAGATATTTGCCCAGCAGTCAGCAACAAAAACAATGGCCAGAACACGGCCACTTTACTGCCTTCGCGGCGCGATGTAAGGGCACAAGCACACACTTGGGCCTTTGGAGCTGAGTTGTGTGCGTGCAGCTTCAAGGAGGGAATCACACACACTCGTGCTCGTAGTATACACGTATACACCCATGGCCCTCCCGTCGTACATACATATAGTACACGTGAATTATTCAAGTTGTGTGTGGCACACTGCTCTCTGCTCTGCAGGCATTCGTCCTGCGCCACAGCTTCTGGTCCAGCACAGATATATGCTTCTGCTTTTCATGTGCAGCCTGGCGTGGTAAAGCCAAATTGCGATATCCGCTCTGAAAACGGCATAAAGTCTGCTTATTAAAATATTAATTGAATATGCAACGCAAAGGCGAAAAAGCCAGAAAGCTGCTGGAGACACGAACATGTAGCTGAATTGGAGGAAGTCCAATTCAGATCCAGAGCCAGAGACAGAGCCAGAGCCAGATTGCTTGGCCTCATCGACGCGAAACTTAAGTGAGTGGCCAGCGTTGCGTGAGCAAAAACAGCGATAAGTGCAATTGGCGTGGCCTGGGCGTGGACATGGCCGGCAACACGGACACGGACACAGATACAGACACCGACACGGACACGGTCATGGCCTCGGACACTTGGCGAGTTGGCAGAAAAGTAAACAAGTCGTCGCCACATGCCTTCCGGCGCTTCTGATTCGGCTTTTTATGGCCAGTCATAATTACAGCACAATGAAAACGGCGTCACAGACAAACAAATAAAAGTGGTCAGCCGGCAGCCTCAGAGGAAGTCGCAACGCACCTGAGCCAAACCAGCACTGCATATGGCCATTGGATGCTGTGCAGCACAAAAACAAGAATGAAACCAAGTGCTCGTAAAACGGATGCGAGTGGCCCGAAAAAAAGTGCGGCTCTGTTGAATGAAGTCGATCGTAAAAATGCCATAAAGCAGCATGAAGATACGCACATACCATACATAGGCGTAGAGAATTGTGAGCTTGGCGGCCCCGAGGGGTGATTGTGTTGTATACTCGCATATACTTGTATTTATACAATTTTATTGAATACAATGTGAATATTCTCAGACTCCACATGATTCATATTAAATTCGCGTGTCCTTTAGATTATGCATATAGTAGTATGTATAGTATTGTTATTTACAGAATATTATTTAAATACTTATAACAAAATTGTAAAGTCTGCCGCTCGCAAACAAGTATTCACTTGGAATTATTTGATTTGTTGTTTTCATAGACAGTATTATACAGACTTTTGCAGCTACCCTCGTGTTAGCAGGCATTTGTAATCGGAAAGCATAATGCGCATACGCTCAGTTAGCCAGCAGGAGCAGACCAGTCGGCGTCATCAACAAATTCGTGGCTGTTATAGAATTAGGATATTCATTGTTTTATGACCCATAAACATTAACAATTAGGCGTCGTGCCGAAATTTGCGATTCACTGGGCGTTTCTTTTTATAACTCTGTTTAATTAGAAAAATACATTAGCACGCAGGAAGATGCCCATCAATTGCAATGCTCCTGTAAGCTCAGGGTTCTGTGTCCGAACATGAAATAACCGACGCCGGCGCCAAGAACGACGGCCAGACACAGCCACACATTAAATGTCATGAAGACGAGCATGAGCAGGAACGAGATGGTGACCTGCAGCATATGCAGAAATGTCTGGTACAGATGCAAGGGTGCCAGCCAGCCCAGCTTCGTGTCTTGCGGTATGCCATGGTGCAAGTGCCGATTACCGCCAGGCGCTCTTGCAGGTATTACGCTCAACTGGGGTGTGCTTTCCCGTTGTGGGTGCGGCTGGGGCGGAGAGGAAGAGATGGAGCGTGTGTGACTGCTGCGCTTGAAGGACCACGCTTCCACGGTAGGCGGCTCGAGGGCGCCACCGGATGACCTTCTCGCTCGGTTTCGAAAAAGCCATTCACGATAGTACTTCAGCGCCTCGTACATCACGGCGACGACAAAGATCAGCAGACAGGAGATGGTGAGAGCCAACACGGACTCGCAGTGCCAGAACTCGAACAAAATTGTTGCCTCGGTGCCAGCATGAAAGGACATACTATGGCTGCCCATGTGGGCGTGATCGTGTAAGTCATTTCCTCCATGTCCTTCATGTTCTTCGGGGGTTTTTTGCAAATGTTCCTCATGGCCATGCTCATGTTCTTCGTGCCGATGGACACTGGCTGAATGCTGGTGATGGTGCTCGTGCATGGGACTTGCCATCTGCAGCGACTGATGCAGATCGATGCCGAACGCCTACGCTCGACGCTTAACCAATGCATCCGTCATGGATATTATTACGAATCAAACTTGAATTCCCAAACGTATCGACTGACTGTTCACACTTGTTGCAGAAAGAAGCAGCAGCAGCTCTTTTGTAGCTTATCACTCAATGAGTTTTTTGGCAAAAAGCTTTTGAAATTAAAGGCAGAGAACAATCGAACAATCGAACGAACGAAACAACAACGAGAACAGCAGCAACAAATAAATAAAAATGAAATCGAGCGAATTCAAGTGCAATTGAACGTCAATAAACGATGAGATTTATGCGCACACTCGCATACAACAGTCGCCTACAGATTTGCCCAATTTCATGCGCTATAAATTTTAGCAAGGATTAGCAGCCAATTGAAACCCCAGAGCATTAAGTCCAACAAAGTCCAAGAGAGTCCAAGAGCCCGAAGCGCGCAGCGTTAAGCGGCCAAATTTATGAGTGCCCCAAATGGCAAACCCGAAATTTGAATGCCGCAGATACAAGGCTGCAAAGCCATTAGCGGCAAGTGGTTAATGGGATGAGCTGCATCTGGCAAGTGCCCGTCCAAAGTCACTCATCAAGTTTCGACACGTACTAGCACGTTAATCAATGCACTCTGTCGCCCCCCAGACAAATACCATGCTACTCGCATGGGTAGCCTCTGCTTGCCCCAAATTGTTGTGCAGCTGCTAATGGCGCAACATTTTTCACATCTCGCCTGGTCACCAGATTGCCTCGACATGCATATTAATAAAGATTTAAAGAAAGGCAGGTTCTCGAAATTAAGTTGCAGAGACACGACTACAAATTACAAACTGAGTAGCGCTCGAACAACCGAGCACTCTAGCAAAAAGGCGCACGAGCGTGCCATTAAATTGTGTATTACACGAAATTAATCATACGCCATGCTATGCGGCCCAAAAATTGCGTTTATTTATGTGCAGGCGCTTGTCAATGATTGGACAACGTGTGCAAATTTTCCAAGTGCGCTCCACAGCCGCGCTGGCCAGTGTAATTTGGCGGAAAACGGAGAGCAGCGTGAGTGAGAAAAAATGAACCGCCTGGATGGGTGGCCAACTGACCACCCATTAATGTTCGCGTTCAAGCACATTAATCATTTTGGCTCAGCAGTCTCAGCCTCAACTCTAGTGCATGAGAATAGAGGAGAGTCGATGGGGATAGAGTATTTTTCGCCAGCATATTTTTCGGCATTTAAGCTGAGCGGAGACAGGAGGCAGCTGCCAGCGACAAAAACTTTTACAACACAATGCGCACAACAACTTAATCCATACACTATCCAAACAACAACAAGAACTGCAGCGGTCTCAGCAGATGAAACGACAAATAAAACGTTGGGCAGTAAATGCTTGCGTTTAATTGCCAGAGAATGAAAGAAAGTGGGCAGAATAGTACAGTGTAACAAAATTGATTTGTGGCGACATACTTGTATATTTCAGAATGGCACTCAGTGCTTGACTCTCTTTAAAGTGAAATCCATCCAAATCTTCGACTATACTAGGCATTGGGATTGTATTGATTCTATGCTGCACTGTGTTAAGGATTCAGCGAGAGAGATATTTTTATTTTCAATCATTTTAAAGACAAGGGAGCTAAAACTTCAGCGCAGTGCTGTTCTCTCTGTTTGTTTATGATGAACAACTTTAGTTTAATTGCCTCGCATGTGTTGCCCCTTTTTCAGAGCTCGATGGTTATTAGCTGTGCATGCTCAGGAAAGTTGTGATTGCTTGTGCAGTTTTCCTTAATGTCTTGCCGCTCTGCACTCACATCAGGTGGGTGTGGCAGTCAGCTAACTTCTTGAAGCCATTATCATTTAAGCTGGTATCTTTAAATGATACTTGGCTCGTTGAACGTCCTTCCTTTGCTTGAAGTTGCGCTTAACTACCAGGCTTACTAGAAGTTATAGTTGCTAAGAGGACGAAATGATAATCTGCTTTTAAAGTAGTACTTCTATTCTCTACATTTATCAATCCAAATAATAATAAACAACAAGTACATTATGGTCTTATCTATTTAATAACCTTATTTTCTGCTAATAATGTTTATGTGTCCATATTTTACAGCATCTTGCATCTTGTTGGTAACATGATGTGTTCTGACTTACAAAATTTCGCACTGTCTAGACATAATTAAGCGAAAATTACACGAAACCATTGTAAGCTAACAGCATGCGGCTAATAACAAAAGTTGTTTGTAGGAAGGAGTCATCAGAAGGTCAGTAAGAATCCGCAGGTAAATTAATGAAACAGACCCATATTCTAAACAGAGTTGCCTATAAATTTTTGAGTTATTGGCCTGCTTTTTGTTACACTATCTATAGACGGATATTGGTGGCTTTGCAATGATAGTCAGGTTATTAAAAAGGCGTGATTCTTAATGTTAATTTGCAGGAAAAAATACATCTATTTTTTTAAAATAAAATAATAATAATAATCAATTCATGCAGTCTAATTTTGTTCTGCTTTTTTCTTTGCGTAATAATTTATGTAATGTTGCTTTTTTCTTCATACATTTTCCAAGAAAATAATTTATGCATTATTACTTGATCCAAAAATTTTCCAAGAAAACAAATAGGAAAATGTTAGTTTCCAAGGAAATAAATACAAATAGTTTATTTACTTTTTAAATTACATTAAATGTTTTGTTAAAATAAATGTAATGGAAATGTAATTTAAGTGCAAACTACTTACTATTTTATAATACATGTAAATTGCATGGCATATTTGTTGTGGGCGGTGCACCTGCATTTCTCCAGTTCGTTTCGTTCAAATGTAATTTAATGTTCTGCCATTCTTATCGCCTTCAAATGCGGCAACTTGACGCCATCCTGACTTCTGGCATTGTTCTAAGAGCCATTCGGATCTTTATTGTCTTGCCCTTTCCGTTTTTTTTCCTTTTTGCTGTTGTGTAGTTGAGCTGCCGCTATGTTCTATCAATTGTCTTGCGAACTAAAGCGTTAATCATGCGGCATTTAATACCATCAAGGAATGCCCCATGGGATTTGTGTCCTGTCTGCGATTTCCACGGGAAAACTTTTGCTGTTGGCCATAGAATTGGCAGTAAGGCGACGATTGCGAAGCACTGACAAAGCACAAAAAAATATAAAAAAAATGATGTAAAGAAAAATATTCCCAGGGCATGCAGTGAGCAGGTCCTCTTTCAGCAAAGGCGACTAGAGAGAACAGAGCGGGCAGACCAGAAGCGGTCGGTCAGGGTCGGTCCGTGCAACATTGCGTGTAATCGCACTACTAAGTCCATTTAATCAACTTAATTTTGTACAAATTCTGAGGCATTCCATTTCACTTTTGCTTCGTTTATTTTTTTCGGGCAGAAGCGTGACGCCAACGCAGGCGTTCACGACACGACGCATTTAATAAAACATTTTCCACAATAAAAACGGTGCGACGCGGTGCGAACATGGGCTCCTGACCAGGTCTATGCGACTCAGTTGTGTTGATTTCTATCGCCGCTGAAATGAAGTTGTTAGCGCTTGAAATAATTTACATAATTTGTTTTTGAATTCCTTTGACATTGTGCTGATGGGCAGGTGCTGCTTTAAAAAGGCTTTGCATACTTTGTGGCGCGCCCGTATACGTAATATAGAGCATATTATACAGGTTTCTGATTCCGAGTCAGCATGTTAATTATTTCGCAAAAGTACATGCCCACGCCAAAGTTTACTCGTATTCTAATAAATATTTCCTTTGACTGACTGGACCTCGTCAATATTGTTAAATTGCAATTGAATGCCGCCCAACATTTCGTTCATTCCACTTTTGTGGTGACTGTAAATATATGCTGTGTTTGTAAGGCTTGCTTAGCACAAAGGCTCGCTTCGGTATTCAGCCAGAAGACTTAGGTAATTTCATAAATAAATTTACAGTTTGCGCGAATTTATCCTAAGACTTTTGTAAGGGTTCGATTCATTCCAATTCCATTAAAGGCACCTGCTTTAGAAAATAATGAGTTACTTTGCAGCTTCAACATTTCAAACTGCATGTCTGGTAGCCTAAATACATATGCAGAACTGCCCTAAAGAAGCCTTAATAAATATATTAACAACATTTATTGTACAGCATTTGAACTCGAGACGTCTAAGCTAATTCAATAAAATAAGATAAGTTCGGTTTTCAAAAGAAACATTTAAAATTTCTAACTGTTGTAATGATTTAAAAGGAATATTAGGATTTCACAAATTTCCTTTCAGCACTGCGTGAAAATACGTTCTTTTGTTATCAAATATATAGTAATTATAATATATGTATTTGCTGGCACCAGTCTATGAAGTTCAAATGATGAACAAATTTTCTTTTCAGTTCAATAAAAGTTGATAAAAATAAAAGCTTCATTAATATACTCTGGAAGATTAAATTCTTAAATTTTCTTTTCCAAAATGTAGTTCACCAAATTTCGATTAATTTTTTGATAACTATGCTAAAGGTTGTTTGAGAAGTACGAAAGCGTTAACTCTATGCAATCAAAGTACTAGGTGTAGGAATACAATGGCACAGTCAATGCAAAAAAACACACTTTATGGTAAACGCTCCACTGACACAGTTTTTCTAATGAAATTTGAACACATTTTGTAAAGAGAGAGAAAAAATTGCATTTATTACTTAGCCAACCATTTGGCCGGAGCGTAATCTTTTGAAACACTCAATGACAGTTGCCACTTTTTGTCGTGTCGGTGCGTTGAAGTGTGGTGGGTGATAGGAAGGAGGTTATGCTGGCTTTCCTCGGCCATATCGATTGTCGATTGGCGTTAACAAAAAGCATTAAATGTCAGCAGCAGCCAAACGTAGTAAGTAGTCACTTAAGCGCACTTTCTAGGCCAACCAGCGATGAAGTGTGTGGAAGCCTAGTGCCTTTGTGTAGGCACTACAAAAGAAAAGCAACAAAATAAAAAAGACACACAAAAAATGAGAAACCCATCACATAGAGGCAGAAGTAGAAAAAATGAGTTCAATTGGTTTCTTGTTACGTGCCGCTCAGTTTTTATTGTTTTGCACGCACTCTCTATAACATATTTTTCACAAATGTTTTTCTTTAGCAGCAGTCATTGGAAATTGATTGCTTCCATGCGCGTGTGTGCTTTGTGTGTGTGTGTGAGTGGGTGTGTATTTCCAAAAGGTCGTAAACTTTGATTTATGCAACTAAATTTTTGCTGTTAACACTCCACTTGCTTATGTCTGGGCGTAAAAGTTTCAACTGACAGAGCCAGACATTTTCATAAGCGCATTTTTCCAAAAATAGTTTTTGCCACTTGCATGCTTTCTGATTACTTGCTGGTAGGGTTGCCACCCCTTCGGTTGCTGCTGCTGCCACTACTGTCGCTGCTGCTTCTGTTGCTGTCAGTAACGATTTGCGATGTTTCATAAACGTCGCATTAGTGTCACACAAAAAATAGAAGTGCTCATAAAACTGCAGACTTTAGTGTTTGCGATGCGATAAATTTCACTAGCTGCGCATTTTCGACTGCAGCGATTTCGCCACTGCAATCATCAGTAAGTTGTGTGCTGGAGTCGGGCGGGTTATTTGAATATAAAATCCGCTTAGCTGTGGAGCTGTGCAGCAGTGGAGCAGTGTGGAGAAGCAGCAAACCTTACGCCCTGCTCGCGTCACACATGAAATTGTTGGCCTTGGTTGCGCAGCCGTCGCCATGTCTGGACATACTACTCGCATATGGGTGTATGCGTGTCTGTATGTGTGTGTGTGTGTGAGCCGAAAGAAAACTCATAAAGTGGCATTGTAGGTTGGCCATGGCGCGTAGGGCGTTAGCAAGGCCAGCAAGCTGGAGCAAAGTCATCATTTATCAGCAACAACGAGCAAAGCACGCTTTTGCTTTCTTTGGCGCCGGAAGATCACTTTGTCATTGTCATACCCTTTTTGGAGTGCGTGCCGAGCCCACTAACACACATAAGCGCACACATTCATATTAGAATCTAAAGGACACCCACTCTGGTTCGCAGTCAGAATCATTGTGGCAGTCGCACGTGGCGCTGCTTTTGGTTCATAGTTTGCTGAAACTTTTGCTGCTCCACAGATTTGTTTATTTCAGTGCCCCTACAAAAAAGCGACACACACACACACATGCACATCAAGGATGCACACATTTGCATTTGCCTGCTCTTGTGCACATCCTGCTGTTTGCTGTTTTGGGTTTGTTGCTTGGAATTTCTCACTGCTCGGCTCATTTTTTTCCTTGCTTTTTACACGTTTGCTCAGCTTGTCAGTTTCAATAAAATAATGTTGAAAAATGTGAGTACGACTCGTACGCTGACTAAATAAACTGAAATCTATTTTACATATTTTAAGTTTAGTTGGTTATACTAACAAGATTGATTTATTCAAATCGTAACATTTTGATTTGCGTTCAACTACTAAAAACTGATATTGTTTTCTTGAACTTAATTGATTTTCGAATTTATATTTTATTTCCTAGCACTTGTCTCAAACATTTGAGGGCTGCTTCTTATACAAATTCATGAATTGAATCCGGAAATATGTCCATAAATTGCTTATATAAAATATTTTCTAAAAAATAGCAACCATCCTTATGATAGGCTACATAAGGAATCCACTATGAAAAATGGAAAAACATTTCTTATTTCTTGTGGATAAAATGTTAGTGTTTGGTAGAGTTCGCAAATTATGAAAACTCTCTATAAAACTATTGTTTATACACAAGGGTATAAATGCTATATTAAAATATCTAAAAGCCACATATATATAATAGGAAGAAAAGGGCATGAATTGTCTGTCTTTCCATAAGAACACTGAGAACTTTTGAACCTCAACTGCTTGTATGTACAAAAACTTTGCTATGATTCGATTTTACTGTTGATTGTTATTTTATTAAATTGTTCCAACAAACTTAATATAATTAGATCACTATGGTAAAGAGAATGAGCGTTGAAATTACACAATGGAGAGGCTGGCGTGCCTTTAGTTTTGCTTACAAATAAAAATATTCGAACAATGCTGCAAAATCTGAATTTTGAATTTTTCTGGTATACAAACTTGTATTGTAAAATATACATACAAGTATATAGCAAGTAATATCTGGACAAGTATCTACTCAAAAAACAGACAATCTTGCTGAACTTATAGCGTATTATGCACAATGTGCATTTGCTTTTTTTTGTAAATTTTTTATCCGGTAAGCTTTTTGTCAGCGGTTTTTTTCTTCCTTTTTCGCCTTTAGCTCGACACCTGCAGCGGATTTACGCTTGCACGACTAATCTTTAACTTTATCGGGTTGGTTGTGCGAGTGTTTGGCACACTTCTAGTTGCTTTTATATTCTGTGGGCCACGTTTATATCGCAATTTGCATTTGTTTTCATAATGTGGAAATTGAACGATTAGGGTTTGTGCCGCAGCATAGATTAGGGCTGATTATTCGGTCGTGCGCCTTAAGTCCAATATCATATAAAATAATTTGCTAAGCAGGGAGCTGCAGCCACACAGCTTGATACTATGAGCAGCTGTCGAACATATTGCCTGCTGCTATGTCTGTTCTTTGTACAAAAACTTAAATCGGAGGGAGATAGTCCCGAGTGTATCTGCTCGTTGGACTTATCCTGCAGTTGCTGTGTCCACAGGGATTTTTTTCTGCAAAAGTCTACGAAATGTGAGTAGAACTTTGGCGTCATCAGATCGAATGCAATTAGCTTGGGCTACAATATTTTCAGTCTGCATGGTATTGCAACTAATGACCCGGAAGCTCTTTTTTACAATGAATGGCGTGTCCCTAGGGGAAGTGGAGCTAACGGTCGTTTCGCCGCAAAAGAAATGCGGAACCCTGAAGAAAGAACCCCTATTGATCGTCTGTGTGGAGTATTCATTTCCAGGCCTGGGTTTGCAGCTGTGTGCCACAGTCCAGACGAGTACGACGCTCCACAAGCTGCCATGTCTGCGAAGACAGTTGGTTTTGCCGGGCACGAAGAAATGAGTGATACAAGTAGGTTTAAGTAACACAATAAAGTTCAGGCGAGTCTAATGTATAGTATAATGAATCGGAGCACTAATAACCGCCGATGGCATAACAAATGGGTATAAAAGCAAGCGGAAAGACTGGCATTTAGCGAGAATTGGGATTTAGCACAAGCGTTTTTCCACGTACCATGGATTGGGCTACCATGGCTACAATGGAATAAAACGTTTCGCCTTTATCCCTTTTCTTTTATTTGTGTGCAATGCTTGCCATTGCCAGCAGTGCAATGCAGAAGTGTACGAGTGTGTGTCAGGATGCAAGGATCCGTCAACCGAGTGTGGTTGCGAGCTGGAGAAATCCTACACATGCCATCTATGTACTAGTCCCGAGGCGAAGCAAAAGCGTAAGTATCTCTACAGTTTCTTAGAAGGCCATAACAATATTCAGTTAGTTTCAGCTTAAATGTTAGGGACTGATGGAAAGGAAACTATCTTATCGGCCACCTTGAAAGGCAGTGCTTCAGGAAGTCTGTTAAAATATGGCGCACGTATAAAGAGTTTGTCATTTATTAAGAATTGGACACAAAATGATGTGTCGCTGCTATTTTTGAAGGTGAACATAAGTATTAATGGGTGGAATATATAAAAGGTATATTTAAAAAACGTAAAATTATGTTTGTCTACAGAGTGTTTGTAAACGTTGACGAAAAAATCTTACCGCTTCACAAATATGGGTGAAGGGCTACTAGATGCCATGCAAGACATGTTTTATTCTACAATAGAAGTGTGAACCGCTAATAGTTACACACTTATTTGGTGCTAGGTCTGGAAAGGAAGGGGCTGAAGCAGTTTAAACGTGACCTTTCAACATTTTGGATGTTGCCTTTGGTAAGGTATAAGACAGAATTTGCTTCTAAACAAAATAGTTAGGCAAATAATTTCGTAGAACTGTCAGAATGTTTCTAAAATATTGTTTTCATTTCCTATACTCAACATATATGAATGCATAAATATTGTATTGTACCATTTGCAGATAATGAAGCCGCAGGTAATAACAATTCATACGTTTCGACTATTCATTGTCTTAGTTAAGGAATTAAGTAAATTTGAGACAATTTTTATTGAATTATTAAAATGTAATGAATAGTTATCCAAACGGAATTGTTGATCAACAGAATGCTGAAGACCAAGTAGCCTCAGATCAGTTTTCGATTCCTTCAAATGACAGTTTTTAAGCTCAGCAGAAGATCCGATTTATGTTGGGAACTTTGAGTATCTGTGGGAAATAGAATTGAGTAAATGAAAGACAGTGTTTTTGAATTACATTTATAATTTTGCCTTTTAATATACGCTTTAATTTTTGCTCATATTCTATTCCAAGTTATTTGCAATCGCATTCGAAAATAAACTTCGAGTTTGTATTCGCTTTTGCTTTCGCCTTTTGCTTTTTTGCAAACAACCATAGTCTGGCATTCACATCGGCAATTAAGTAATTATTTATAATGAACTTTTCTCGCTTTCTGATTTGCGTGTTATGTACTATACTCGTACGAGTATGTGTTTAAATGGCTGCATATAATTAGCTTTGTCATTCTGCTTTCTTCAACTTATCGTTTTGAGTGTGGTATGTAAATAGTTTTTGGTTTGGTTGCTTTTTGTTGTCGTTACACACTATTTTGGTTTTTGTTTATGCATTCGCTTTTGCCATTGTTTGGTTTTATTTAGCTCTATTTTATGTTTTGACAGAACACACCAATTAAAATGTAATTAGCATAGCAAGTGCAAGTGCAACGCCTGGCCTACAATTTGCATGAGGGCGTTCCAACCACTTGTGAATATCATAAAAACATACACATTATGCGCTAGACTTTGACATTTACGACCATGTAGGTTTGTTTACATGTATTATTCAGTTTCAGTTTGGTTTTTGTTTTTGTTTTAGTTTTACTCTTTATTTTCGTTACTAAACATAAAAATTAACGCTTAATGTTTGGTATCACAGAGAGGCGTGACTTTTATACAAAATACAAAATATAATGCAGAAAGTTTCAATAAATACGTAAATTTCTGTTTTTAGCTTGAGCTACATATTTGCATCTGTGTATATAGGTATATATATATAGTATGTTTGTAGATATATGTCGTTGCTTTTGGACACTAAAGGCGTAAATCAATCCTTTATCTATAAATGTTGCACAGATTTAGTAGGTAAATAGAATGTGAATTGGATGCCAACATGAGGAATATCACCCTTGTAACACAAACTATTTATCAGAGTCAGTTTGATGACATTTTTACTGACAATTGGCTGGAACTTATCATTGGTTCTCGAACATGCAGCTCTGCTTAAATGGCTTGCTATGCAAACAATGCTTTAAATATACATAAAGTATTCTGTGATAGGAAAACCGAAATGACACAAAGTGCTGAGTAAAAGGGAGCAAATGTAATCCAACGCCATAGATGCTATGAATCGTAGTTCAAAAGCAGGCCCGCCTTCGAATATTAAATGCAAATATTTGCCAATTGTGCCACTAAAGCATGCATGCCATGCAAATGTTCTCCTGCTGTTCATTGCAAATGGAAATAATGACCTATCCTTTTCCGTCCAAAAGCAACGACATCTTATTTGTATGACTAAACCATTTAGAGTTTCGCAAGATGGAGTTACATCGCTTAAATTTAGGTAGTACGAGTAGATATAATATTTACAGTATACAATTAACAGTTTACTTTTTGCTTTTCGATAGCAACAGTTTTTTGTCATGCTTCTTTTGAATTGCAGCTAAAAATATTCATGTATATATCATTATATATAGTAAGTAGGTATACGTATATATAAGTATTTACTATATGTATATGCGTAGGTATGCGTTTAATTTAGTTTTTGGCTCAGTTGTGTGAGTATCTCAAATTAGTTTGGGTCGCAGTACGGCTCTATGAAAACGTAGTATGAGTTGATTCGATTTTCTCGTTTCTCTGATTGTGTTTCTGCTCTTTTTTTTTTTTTTTTTTTTTGTTTGTTTGTGTGGAAACATAAAACAATAGAAATGCAACAATTCATTATTCATACATGCATAGTTACATTGAAGGAACAATGGAAACCTGTCTCTCTTCGGCTGGTTTCGAGCCCTACAATCGTATTGTTGTTGTTGTATATGTGTGTATTTCTGTGAGTGTGTGTGTATTTGTGTGTGTGTGTGTGGTGTGTTTTCTCAATTCGTGATTGCCACACACCGCTTACATCTAGTTTAAAATTACAACAACGAGTTACATTTAAAGGAGTCGTCTTAGTCATCGTCATCATCGTCATCATCATCATCACGAACTACACATACAAGTAGTACTTATATTATTTTTCTTGTTTTTCCGTTTGTTTTTTGGTGCACATACATATACACTACTACATACATACAGATAGGTGTACAGTTATAAATATATGTGTGGGTAGAGCATTTGCATTACTTTTACGCACTACATTGGATTTCTAAGCATAATCAAGTGCGTCTAAATAGAATTTCACGGAATCATCATTCCAGGGTTTTGCATCCAACGCCTAATTTCAGAGAAAACTTTCGCGAGCTCCGTGCCGCTCGTCACCCAACATGACGCGCTGCGAAGGCGGCTCTCCATACTGATCCTGATAGTAGTTCTCACGCATCATCGTGTTCAGACTCGAGCAGCGGAAATAGAGTATTTCCTGGAAGGGTTTGCGGAAGTCGCGATTCAGTGTCGCATAGATAATCGGATTTAGCAGCGAGTTGGCATAGCCCAGCCACAGGAAGAGCGAGGACAGCGAAGCGGGCACATGCATCGTCTCGAACGGGCGTATGAGGGCCAATATGAAGAAGGGCAGCCAGCATATGGTGAAGGCCGACATGATGATGCCTAGTGTGGTCGAGGCCTTCTTCTCCTTGGCCAGCTGGAAGCGCAGTTTCTTGTGATGCGGCGACCCAAGTAGTCCCGTTGTGCCACTCACTCCCCCTCCACTGCCATGATGTCCATGCCCCCCACCACTGCCGCTCAATCCGCCGCATGTGGAGTAAGTCAGCGAGGTGTTTCCCACGCTGCTGTGTCGCTGCTGTCCATTGCCATTGCCACCCAGCTCCGTGTGGCCCATTGGTGGGGGAGGCGCCACCGCTGTCTGTGGCGAGCCCGTGCCGTTGAGCGCATGCTGCAAATGCGTTTGGGCGCGCTTCTCTTCGAGAACAATGCGTCGTGCCGCTCTGAAGATCTGATAGTAGACGAACAGCATCACGGAGAGCGGTATATAGAAGGAACCGAGGGTGGCATAGATCTGATATGCAAAATTTTGGCAGACGGTGCAAATGGGCTCCCCACCTTCACCGACATGCTCGTTACCCAGAATGAGCAGCGGTGGCAGCGAGATGCAGGCGGCGGCCAACCAGACAATGCCCACGCACAGCATCATGCGGCGCGGGGTGCGCTTAACTCCGTACTCCAGGGGCTTGGTAATGGCCAAATAGCGATCCACCGAAATGGCACACAGATTCAGTATGGAGGCAGTGCAGCAGAGTACATCGAATGACACCCAGATGTCGCAAAGCAGCGGACCAAAGTTCCACTTCTCCAGCACCTCGTAGAGCAGTGCCATGGGCATGACCAGTACGGCCACGCAGAGATCGGAGAGCGCCAGCGAGACTAGCAAATAGTTGCAGGGTCGACGCAGCTTACGCACCATACAGACGGCAATGCAGACGAGTACATTGCCCACCACGGTGCCAATAATGACCACCAGGAGCACTATGCTGACCACAATCGCATGTACTGGCGGCAGCACGAAATCCACGGCTGTGTCGTCCCTCTCCAGCGACTGCTCAGACTCCAGTGGTGAGTCCGATAGAGAAACCAGTGTGGCCACTGTATTGGTGCTGCTGTTGTTGTCGATGCTGGTGATGCTGCTGTAGGAGTTGGTGCTGCTCCCGACTGCTGCCGAAGTGGGTGAGCTGGCATAGCTGGCGTTGCCCGACACCGCAGCAATGGCACTAAGAAAGGCGCTGGAGCTGTTGTAGTCTGTGGGCGCATTACCGCCCGACTCCAGCACCAGGGCGGCAAAGTCCTGTTCATGGCTGCTACCCAGCGCATAGGCGATGCAACTGCTCAGCAGGAGCGTCAGCAGCGTCAGGGCCGTTGAGATCAGTTTTTGATTGTGTTGGTGACGATGATGGCTCTGCCTTCTCTTCGTGCGCTGAATGGGCGTCTGGGCGTTGATGAAGTGGCTGCTGCATTTGGCTGGAGCGTAAACGTTACTGGCCGGCGAAGCCATATAAATGCGCGCTTCCCTCTCCCTCTGTCTATCTCGCTCCCAATTGCTGGCAGCAAGCAATACTCCGAGTGGAAGGAGTGGTGCCTCGGTGTGTGAGTTGAGTTCAAATAACACCTATTTATGAATACTTAGAGTTAGGTTTATGCGCTGCTGATTGCCTTTTGCTTAATTGCCTTCCTTCCACCCACGCGCTCACTCTCCTTCTCTCACTCAACTGTGCACACTCGTGTCACCTCTCTCGTGTACTATGTACCGTTTGAGCGATTAAATATTAATTCACATGCACTCAAATCTTCTGCACGGCTGCCCCTCCGCCGTAACTTTATCGTTACAGTTAATTTTGCTGCGTGCCTCTGGCTCGCTCGATTTGTTTTTGCTTTTTTTTTTTGGTAGGGGTATGTGTTTTGGGGCCGCGAGTGTATCGCAATTTACGTTGTCGCGTCTCTCTCTGTCTCTATTGAATTAGCTGCGAGGCAGCGTCGGCATCGACTGCGACGTCGTTAATGTCGCTGGCTTTGTCACGTTGATTTTAGATATTGTCATAACCGTAATTGCCCGCACACCGACGATGGCGATCAACGACACCCACAATAGCACTGACTGCTGACCTGCTTTTCATCATCATCATTATCTGCATCGTCAACATCATCATCATCATCATATACATTGTTGGTGGCTTCTCCATTACGACATGCTCTCGCGTTCTCTGCTCATTGCTGTTGCTGTTTCTGTTGTTGTTGTTGTTGTTGTTCATCAACACCGGCGAATGGCGCGCCATAGCGAATTCATCTTTATCGTCATCATTAGCATCAGCAGCGTCGCTTAATTCCTTACAATGTCTAACACGCGTTGATTTCCCTTCCTCTTTCTGCTCGTGCGCGTGCAATATTTCTGTCATTAATCATAATTTCAATAAAAATAAAGTCCTCTTATTAGTTGTTGCTGTTGTTACTCTTGTGTGGGGGCTGCTGTCTGCTCCGTGTGCTTTTGCACTTTGACTTTTGTGCGCGTCTTGTGATGAACCTAAAATGTCGTCTAAGGAAATATTCGCTGCTTTATAAATGATTGCTGCTCCCCGTGCTCCACTTTAATTTATCTTCCTAATCGATTCTCGGGTAATGAAGCCGTTTGGGTGTAGTTGTGAAACCGCTGGCTGCGTTGAGCTCTGATTGTCAGGTTTCTGTAAAGACAAGAGATTTTGATCGACTATTAGTTAGAGCTTACAAAGTGTAAATACTTATGGTATTAATTATACTTGTATTACTTAAGCTTTACTGTAAGGTATATTATCAATCCCTGACACATTATATGAATTAAGTACGGCTCTGTGGCTCCATACTATTTAGGAAATATAAAGGCTGCCCAAATGGACTACTTTTATTATAATTTAAGAATTGGATTACTATTCTGTTGGAGGCAAAAATAAGCATTACATTACTGAAAGCATTGATCTTCTATATTTGTTGGGCTTAAATATGTATACAGGCAAATAGATAAATAATAGTGGAGCAGAAATGAGTATGTTACAAGGGCTGTCGCGAATACAACAGCTGAACATTCTCCATGAAAATAAATGTATAGTACTTATTTATGCATTTGCTTGAAACAATTTTAGAAGCACTTTTCACACTAAATAAAGCATCCAAAATGCCTTTCGTGCTCAGAGTTAGAATAAATCGATAAGAGCTCATTTTCTGAGAGATCATAAAATTTTCTCCTTAAAGAACAAACGTTTATGTAATATTAATTGTACGCTGGTGTCCAAAAACACATAGCATGTCTCTATCTCACACCGTGTGGATTATATCGTGGATTATAAACTATGCACAGCATCGATCGAATCGTACTAAAGTGAAGAACGCCTTCAATTGAATTCGGACATCCAGCTATGAATTGTGGCTTTTATGAACGGAAAATATTAAAATAAATTCTTCAAGGCACACTTGTTGAGACAGAGTATGGCTAATGTTGTGAAACTAAGCGCCCGAAAGTGTTTACGTTTTTCATTCAATTATTCGGCCGAATTAATCTCAAGTAGTCTGAATTGGCTCTTAAAAAAAAAACAACACGTTCTTTCAAGCAACAAACAAACATTTTGCAATGAAAAATGCCAGACTTAATCTTAAAACCCAAGAATTTTTTGTCCATTTAATAAAGTAATTATTATTTGTAATCGGCTGCACAGAAATTCAACATTCTTGTTATTTACTTAATAATTGTATATCAATAGCCTATGCTGCCTAAAAAATGTATGATGAGTTTATGTTATTAGTATTCTTCAAAAGAACATTTAGAATAGATTTCATTAGCTTCATGTCACATTTAGAATACATTTCATATGCACATTCCTACCTTGAAAGTTTTCAATTGCATTGATGATTCTTTGCACCCCGAAGTAGTTATGTACCCGACCAGATTTAGTTACAAATGTTGGCTTTATTTTCTTCAGAATTTGTGGTCACACATACACACACAGATGTCGGGCTCAATTGTTACAATTCCCAAGAAATTTTCAAACAAATTTGAGCGAATTTTGACAAAACAATAAAGCAGTATTACATAATGGCCGACCCGGAATTCAACATTTCGCGTCTAGACATTTACAGGCTTCCTACTCTATGTTGGGGACTTCGTGGCTGGAATATTCCTTAAGCATATTATGTCCTCAGCTCCTTCTGGTTGGGCACGCATGGCGCACGTAAAAAACAAGAGGAAGACGTACATGCTAGGGACGCGATGGTGGGCCCTTGTATTAATTTTCATGGTTCTTTTGATTATTGAATTGTGCGCATTGTATTCTCGTTTATTTCGCCAAGGCAGCCAGTGGACCGTGCAGTCGTCTGAACGCGCTCCTAAAATGCCAAACAAATAAACAAAAAGCAGGCAAAATGCGGCGTCTTTTGTTGCGGCAGTTCTTCGTGTTCTTCTTCTCATTGTTGTTCTTGTTGTTGCTGCTGCTGTGTTTTCAACTTCCGTTTCGCATTTCTGTTGTTGTTCATTTCTTTTGCACGCCACTGCCTTTTTCCCACTCCCCCGCAATGCTCAGACCATGTTCTGTGGTCAAGAGCCTCGGCCATTGAAACGGCAGCAGCCACAGCCATAGCCGCAGCCGCAAAAAGCGCGAACCAAAAATACAATTTATACATTTTACGTTGCTTTGTGCGGCAGGCGCGTATATTTTAATTGAATTCCATTACATTTTTGTTGCACTCGTGCCAAAAAATAAAGTGTCGGCAACGACGATGTCGGCGCCAGCGGAAACTTATGAAAACTGTGTTACAAAAAAAAACCATACACACACACATTTTTGGCTTCACGTGCCTTGCGAATGTCGTGAAAGCATTGTTTGACTACACTCGCAAAAATATACGATGACTCAATGTACCTAAAGGCATCAAAATGATTGAAAACAAATTTTTAAGCCACACATACTTACAATATGTCGAGCACAAGCATTCGATTTCAGTAGCATAAAATAGGTGCTTTTATATTTTTTTAAATTTCCATTTAATAGCGAGATCCAACACCATTTGACAGTTGTTGTGTGTATATTGTGTATTATATATTGTACTTGTATACTTGTATATAAATTGTATTGGAAACTTTATGCATTGAATGTTTTACTTTACATAAATCAAATAGTTGCCCCATTAAAACTATTTAGCATACTTCGAACTGCTTTGAATGTAAAACACATTTGGATTGCATTTCTATGGGAAAATCAATCAATTTTACTGTGGAAATCGAAATAAATGATAATATAATTATACTTAAAATAAGAGGGTAAACAGCGATTATTTGAAACGACATTGTTTATATTAAATTCCTTAATTCTTCTTTCTAAGCATTTTTAGGGAACACTTCAATTTCCAATCCCATACAAGTATCTTAGCAGTTTACAGTGTAATTATTGAAGACTCTGCAAGTGGCAATTGAGCAACATGACGCACAGAAAGTCGTCTAGACGAGTCTGTCAGCGTTGCGGGAAGAGTATCGGGCCTTGGGGGCCACCTGGGGCAGCCATGCCACGACCTTGCTGTAAGTACTTTCTAAGGGCTTTTGGCCCGCATGACAAAAGAATGCTACATGTGCATTACCAGCCGACCTGGCATATGTCTGATTTAATGGTATAACCAACAAATGCGACCCGCTCTGAAAATATGATCTAAGCACACAGCAGTTCATTGTCCGAGAAGCAGCAAATATTTAAGGTGATTGTGTGTTTCTTTCGAAATACTTCAAAATTATGATTGCGAGAGTGCATTTGCAGACGAAAGTACACAAACGATTTTCATTACAATGCACAAATATTTAAAAGTAATTTCCAAAGCAAAACAAAGCAAAACCAACAAGCAAAATAATTTCGTGTGCAAACAATTATAGTTATACTGAAAACATTGTGCGTTGGCAAACAAATGTTCGTGCACTTTCCTGATATTGATAAAATATTTCATTTGAATTTGCAAATTATATGCAAATGTCGGAATGCAAGTAATTAAAAATCTATTCGTAACATATACGGAAGCTAACTAAGCGTTTAAATGCCTAAATGTATGCTGCATATTTACATAACAATAATGCGACTAACTTTGGCATTAGCTATGCTAATCAACTGACAGAAAATAAACAACGACCAGCAAGGCACAACATGAAAATAATGAATAAAAAATATATGTACATATATATACAAATGTGGCACAAATGTTTACCCAAGTGGTCAACAAATTTAATTAGCCAGTCAGCCAGCCAGACAGCTAGCCGGCCAGATAGCCGCTTGTTCAGTCCAGACAGAGGGGCAGTGGGACAGTTGGCCAGTCCGACTTTCAGCAATGTGTACAAAAAGCTGTAACTTGTCAGGCATGTCGTAAGCCTCTCTAAGCGCCCCTGACTTTGGCTGCCGGACTCCTTAGCCATCGCCGAAATGCCCCAAGCGTGCTGTTGACTTTCATTTTCGTTGAGCTCTCGAATCTCCTGACGGCGCGGCGTCTCTTCCTCGCAGCCTGACGGGCTGACAGCCAGCACATAAATAATGTAATTTAATTATGAATTTGTGATTTGTGATTGTGGCAAGATACGCACGGAGGCTGCAGCTTAAAAGTTACACGCACACACACACACTTGAACTGAGCGGCATTATGTATACGTGTATATTTATAATTTGTATTATCAGCGAGCTAAGCGTTGTTGCCCCTGCAGCTGCCAAATAGTCATAAATATTTAGCTTGCTAGTACAGTATATACTACTAAGAAGCAATCGAAAATTGAGTTGGGAAATGAAATATGTTTTGAATTAAAAAATAACGCTTAAACGCTTATTATGTTGCAAAAAAATGGTTTCTGAAAATTTATAGGAATTGATAGGAAGTTAGTTATGCGTCGCTTCTACTTGATTAGCGAATGTTGAAGGCATGTTTAATAGCTGCCCCAAAACTAACAGAGTGCTTTGTTTCTTCCAATACATAATATACTTGTATGTGCCATTTGGTCTACTCAAATAGTTTATTTATGGATTTGGTTTGTATAATAATTGACAAAATTATGAATTTGAGACATGTCGTCGTCGTTTTACGTTCTACGGCTTCAATTCTCTATACACGACTCCTCTCGCCAATTGACTCTACTTAGCCTCTTTTTTCCTTGCGGAGTTGTGACGCCAGACTATTTCCACATTTAGGGATTTCAAAAAGAATTTTTTTATTATTAATTAAAAATTACATGCGGGTTATGGCAGCCACAGTCATTAATTATTGGAACTTTCACCGAATGTATGTCGAGTAAAAGGAAAAGCCTTCTCACAGCTTGCTCTCTTAGGCCATTAGTTTGTCCCTAATGCTGTTGCGAGCAGCGATTCACGCTCCCTTCTTATAACAGTTCATTTTAATTTTTTTTATTGCCAAATCTCGCCCCATAAAGGACGTGCAACCTTTGGTCATCCATGGTCGTTCAGTTGCAATTGCGCTCTCCTCGCGCTGCTCATGTATTGCTGTCTCGAAGTTTTTACAACGTTTAGTAAATACAATCATATACTACAAGTATATGTGAAATTTGCAGTGTATTCAGATTTCAGGGACCTACTAACTTTTTGAAGTAATAAGGTATTTCATACTACACCTTAAAAATAATTGGATTTTTAACTCCTATTTACACTATATTCTTAGATAAGTATTGTTTGTAAAAAAT